TTGAGCAGTACAAGAAGTTGGAAGTTGATGATGATGTCGTGGTCGAATTGAACATCACTTCCTCTCGGTAGAACGAGGATTGGGAAAAACTTAGGGAACGAATTCGTTCAGTGTGGGGTGGACTGTAATCAAGACATATGACGTCTTTTTCTTTTGTAATTTTGCATTTGATTTTTCCTTTGTAACCTTGTTCATCATTAATGAATATATATGTTAACTTCTTGTGCATTTATTTGACGTTTGTCTTTTAATCGCCAATTCTTTAAGCATTTAACTGCTTTGTGCTAAAAATCTTGCACATTTTCTTTTGATATTTTCACCTCTTTTCCCAAGACTTTGGGCTATTTAATTCCATTTATTAGGCAGAATGTGGCTACTCATATTCTGTCTCTTCATCTTCACCCCCTATAAATGTACGTATGCTTCGCACTTTCCATCTTCCATCTTCATCTTCATTTTCTCCTTCGAAACCAATTTGCTGCCATTGTTTGGCATTCTGATAATCAATCCGAAGCCTTCGTCTTTCTATAAAAATGGATTGTTTGGTCTGCCCATTTTACTATTTGCCTTGATGTCACCTTTGGTGTGGGAGGTATAGGAAATATTTTTTGGCTAGCAGCAAAGTTTTTACCATCAAAATTCTTCCCATCGTCTCTTTGTCCTTTACAAGGAGTTGATGATAGAAGGCAATTTTTGGGATGCTTGCGGGCCACCTTGCTTGCTGAGAGTGCTTCTTAGCCTCTTTCCCCGTCATTGTAGCGATGCATTTAGGAAGGTGGTGAGGCCAGTCCACCCTCTTACTCGGCGATCCCACCATTGCAGCGATGCATTTAGGAAGGTGGTGAGGCCAGTCCACCCTCTTACTCGGCGATCCCACCATTGCAGCGATGCATTTAGGAAGGCGGTGCGAGGCCAATCCACCCTCTTACTCGGCGATCAACCGGGAGATCAGCTTACTTTTAATTGTAGTTTGTAGAGCATCCATTATTTGTATTTTTGCATCTTTTTAATGAATATTTGATAATAAAGGACTTTATTTGAACGTATTTCGCTCTGACCTTGTTTTCCTTAATCGTTCAACATATTTTGATTATGCTTTTATCTGTTCACATTTCCATGAAGAAAGAACATATTTTTTCAAATATTTGCCGTTAATGAATCTTACGTGCTTGGTGCCATCTAAATCTTCCAAATGATACGCTCTATTGGGCAACACACTGTTTATTTTGTATGGTCCTTCCCAATTGGGCGACCACTTCCCGTACTTTGGATCCTTGCTATCCAAAGGGAGTATCGTCTTCCAAACTAGTTCACCCAGGCTGAACAACTTGACTATGACTTTTTTATTATAAAATTTAGCCATTCTTTATTTTTGAACTTGCAATCTATCTAAAACGTCCAACTTTAATTCGTCCAACCCCAATAAATTTTGAACTAATGATTCTGCATGCTCATCGTCATTCAACTTATGTTGCAAGTACACTCTAATCGATTGCACGTTGATTTCCATAGGTAAAACGGCCTCCTGTCCATAAGGAAGTTGGAAAGGAGTAACTTTTGTACTTGACCGAGGTGATGTTCTATACGCCCACAAGGCCTTGTTCAGACATTCGTGCCAATTTCTGGCATTTTCATCTATCATCTTTCTGATGATATTTTTTAGAATCTTATTAGAAGATTCTGCTTGTCCGTTGGATTGAGCGTAATATGGTGTGGAGTTTACTAATTTAACCCCAAACTCGCTCAAAAATTTGTTCACTTGATCCCCATTCAAAGATGTTCCGTGATCTACCATTAACGTTTGTGGAATTCCAAACCTATAAATGATGTGATCACGGATAAACTCTATGACATTCTTTTGGGTGATCTCTTTCAAAGGTACCGCCTCTACCCACTTGGTGAAATAGTCGGTTGCAATTATAATAAAAGTATGTTGCTTGGACGATGGGGGATAAATCTTCCCTATCAGATCTATCGCCCAACCCTTGAACGGTCAAGGTTTAATAATAGGTGCCATCTCTCGTGCTGGCCCCCTTTGTATTGGACCATGCTTATGGCATGCTAAACAACTCTTTGCATACTGAACGCATAATTCTCCCATCTTTGGCCAAAAATATCCACTCCTAATAATTAACCA